CGTTCGTTCCTCGGTCTTACCTCGATCCCTGACATCGACGCGAGGAGGAGTGTTCCTCCGCGCTGGTTTCTCTCCTAACTTTCTACTCTCATGCATTGTTCTAAGTTCTAATCTTACACTATACCTATCAGACATTCTTACTTCCTTACCTACGTGCTACGATCCCGTCTCTACAGCGAGGAGGAGTGTTAGAGTTCACGAGTTCACGCTTCACGCATCAGGCGCTGTAGGCCGGCATCTCCCGTTCACACTATACTAGCACCCGTCACATAACCAACGTCCCTCACTCGTTCCATCATCTCCCCGAGTGAGGGTACGTCGTCTCTCGCGTTACCCACATACTCACCGTACTCACTATGTCCTGTAGCGCCTCATACTTTGGGCTACAGGTAATGAAACTCACTCGTTCCATCATCTCCCCGAGTGAGGCGCCTCATACTTTGGGCTACAGAAATTAACACTATTGGATGGGATAGGAATACTAAGGGATGGAGGATATGCGGAGTTCGCTTGCCTCCGAACGGAAGCAGTTGTTGCTCTTCCAGCCAATATCGATCCGATCCAGGCTGCTCCATTATTGTGCGCTGGGGCTAGCTGCTTTGGTACGAGTGTCCTTGTTGCTCATGCCCCTGGAACATCCTCACTATAGCATACCACAGATGCACTCCGTAATGTTGGGGCAACGCCGCCCGAACATGTCGCTGTGCAGGGAATAGGGTTTGTATTGCGTCGTTCATCTCCTGAGCGTTAGCTGATGATTCACAAAGCGGTCTTGGGCATCTCGCTATCCAAATAGCCAAGGCAATGGGGTTTCGTGTCACAGCTCTCTCCGAGCCGTCTACAACAGCACACGCATGTTGCCCCGCATGTTTGATACGCCTAATAGGCGGGGCAACATGCATGTGCTGTTGTAGAATCTACTCGTAGCGTACTCCAGGTGCTGTTGGTTGTATTACTAAGCATGAAACATACTAAACAATGTGATGCAGGCCTCTTCTGGGTTCTGAGCTTCTTGCCGACCAAGCAGCCTTCCTTGAAGATGGGTATGTCTCCTAAAGACGTATTACGCACGCACGCAGTAAAATCTTCCCATAGACATTGTGAATGCTGCATGGGCATTACATTCACCGCTAATATCGATTCAGCCTTGTTGGTCTATCGAGTGAAAGATGCACTTCAACGCCTCCGGTACGTGTACTCTGAGCTCCCATAGTGTCTGTCTCCTCACAACTACAACAATAGATTCACGTGCCCGATGATAGCTGCTACTCCTCGACGAGGCATTCACAATCAACAGCTCAGCTCATGGATTTATACCCCTATCTCGGACGTCCATGAGGTACGAAGTTGGTCCGAGGAAGTCCTCACCGTCCAACTCGATACTCCGACCGCCCCTTCTTCGATGGTGAAGAAACTGAACTCTAGCAGACTCCCATATGTTCTGCCAGACGGACGGAAGCTATTCTTGCGAGTGTATCTAATACGTCCCGTCACCGCATTGAACGTGTTCGGTATCTTTCTCCACGGAACACATGCGCTCATGGATGCAAGACCGACACTTAACCTATTTCATTTGATGCTCGAGTACATGTCTCTACCCCAAGCAATCAGTATTGCAGACCTTCCTTGGGGTACAGAGTACAAGAGCCTTCCGCCCGGTCCGATGACCGCAACAGGGGGACGAAGAAAGGAATGGGCTTCTGAGGGACAAGACCTCCTGCAGAAGGTCGCAAAGATGTACACACATCCATACGTACGTAAGATTCAATTCATAACGCATCAGATACACTGGGTTGATTGTCCAAAGCCTGGGAATATAGTCGAGAGTAGAACGGCCTCAATTGCCGACAATGACTTGTCACAGAGGCTAGCGGTGAAGCTTACCGGTATCGAGACCTCCCGGATCCTTCAGACCCTGAAAGACCTGGGATATTCCTTCACTCATCTCTTAGAAGCTGCAGTCGCTCTTGCTACATTCACACTCCGGCCCATACCCGCAGAATGCAGCTCGATCGCCCATGTCACATATGATAGTGCAACGTACGTCCTTCATGTACAAACTCATCCTCACATTGTCTGATGCACAGAGTAGTATTTCTACGACTGGACGTCTATGTCCAGAATATGAAACGAAATCCCGGTTCCTCTCGTCCTTCGTCTTCGTCCCCATCAGGATCAATTGGAGCGAGCTATCAGAGCTCAAAGGGAGAGCTCAGGTAATCCAAGCAATGAAGCAGTCGAAAGCCCAGTATTCCGCCTATCTGGCAAACCCGTGTCTTGTGCAGCTCACGGCAGAGCAGATGCGGTTAAGTCCTCCGCAGCAGGATATCGTTAGGGGCTCACCCAACGCTCCGGTTGTCGTCAATCTTGGACGTGTCGAGGATTACCTTGCTAGCTCTTGGCCCAGTAGCCAGTCCTCGTCAGCTTGTCCGCTCTTCAGAATAGATGACTTCTTCCTTGGACTTCGATCAACGCATACTCACCCGTAAGCTACTTACATTGTCGACTATTCGTCATCCTTCACACATTCATGCGTACAGGATACTACATGGTTGGACCATGCACGGGAGATTCGAATTGCAGATGCAGGTAAGAACTTTACACTCCCCTGTTTAGAGTTCGCCTGAAAGCGGCATATTAGGCCGCAGACAATTGGGACGTCAACGACATGCAACAGTATCTGAACGAGATCATTAGACAGGCAATGACTCTTATCTCGTGACGGGAAAAGTCTCCACGATAGAGCACCCATGTACACGATCTTTGAGATCATACAGGCTTCATAACTCGCTTTCCTTGTGGCGGAGAACACCTCCTTGTTGGACAAGGACACCTCAAATAAATCGATGAGAGTATGCGCAGAGTCGTGCGTGTCAGTTTGCAATTGCACCTCGTTCGCTGCCCGCGCAGACTGCTTCAGTTTCTCGAGCCACTCTGCAATCGATACTAGAGGGACTGCGAGTTTCTTCGCGAACAAGCGCTGCACTCGCGATGTCGATCGGGACCCAAGAGACAGTCTAGGAATGGACCCCCTCCTTAACACGGTCTCCGACAGGATGTGATGTTGTCAACTCACGTCGTCTCTTCTAGGGGCAAAACCTAGTCGCTTGCTTGCTCGGACGATAGCTGGTATCCACTCTTCGGTGTTCCAACCACCTACTTGCGAGTCGCCGCTCAGCTGGCCTACACGCACGGAAGTCGTGCGGAGGCCCGTTTCCCTTGTCGCCCGCCATAGCATTTGTTCTGTGATCCACTTGCTCTCGCCATATCCAGTCCCTAGTGCGTATTCTGGACCATATTCAAGCGATTCGGGAGCCGGCGTCGTGGACGAGTATCCTGTAGCTCTTGGTAAGCAAGGGTCTTCGTTCACGACTATAAGAACCCTACCGAAGAGCGCGCTGATAGAGCTGACGAGAAGAAGCCTCGGCCCACTTGCCACAGCTGAGCTCAAAGCGAAGTAGACGACATTGCGTGCACCAGCAAGGAGGGGCTCAAATGATGGCAAGGAGACCTTGAAGTCGACACGCCAGCCTAGAATGTGTTTTAGAGAGTAAATGACACTACGGAGTGCTGAGACACATACCGTTCTGGATAATAGCCGTGACGGAGGCGCGTAACTATTGACATCATCAGAAACACTGACATGCGAGGATAATTGACCATTCTCACTTGCTCGAACGTCCGCTGATCCAAGTTGAACCCTGGCTTCGACAGGTCTCCGGACAAGAAGGTCGCCCTTCCACCATCCAATACGTGCTCGTCCAGGTTCCAGGGGCGGAACACCTCATGGTGTCTCTTCTCAAGGGCTGCGCTATCCCCGGGCGCGCCACTGTTCAAGGCGTAGACATGCACGACTTCAGGTTCCGCGAGGATCTGAGTGAGCAGCTGAGACCCGAGGCGGCCGGTGGTCCCCGTGATGAGGATCGTCTCTTGCGAAAGCCCGTGGCCATTGTGGCTGACGTTACTGGATGACGTCCCGCGCCAGCTCGGCTTGGGAAATGTGCTAGAATACTTCGACAGCATGGACTCCATCTGCGTAAGGCGAGAGGCACGCTCTTCTTCCTTGCCTACGGCTGTCCCAGACAGGATTCTGAGAAGGAATGAAGCGAGTTGCGTTATGCTCGGGTTGTTGTAGACAAAGTTCAGTGGGATGTCATGAACGGAGAGCTTAGTTGTGGTCCTTATAGCGTGAAGCACTGTATTTCTGATCCAGGTAGCTTGCAAAATAGGCCTCGTAAGTCGGAATGTCACAGACAGTGGGGCGCAGAGCAACATACCTATCGCCGCCCTGCTAGAACAGGTCTTCGTCATCTTCGATA